CTCCCTCCCTCCCTCCCTCTCTTTACTTGTTTGCTTGTTTGCTGCCCCCTCTTGAATCAAGCCATCCTGGAGCTTGAACCGCTAATCCTCCTGCACCTATGTCCTGAGTGCTGGGATTACAGGTATGTACCCCATGATCAGGTTTGTGGGGCTTCCTACATGATAGGCAGCACCCCCCAGCCCATACATAGTTATTTATTTAGTTTTTATATTTAGTTATTTATAAAGGTCTTGGGTGAGAGGAAAATTAATATCGCTTCCCTGCCACCCCCTGCTCCTGTCCTAATTATGACAAATGACAAATACAAGGACACCTCTTGCACCCAACATCGAACTTCATTGTCACCTACTCCACTGAAAAAACAATATGTTTCAGGAGTGATATGAGATCCACTGGGTAAGTATACACCTTATGAGTTGTGATACTCTTACTTATTACTGGGTACCAGTTTTGAGTTTTGCTCAGTAGTGAAGAAGATTATATTTTAATACAAAGAGAATGACTGTGACTCGTGCATTAAAGTGGTTTCACATGGAATATGTTGATGTCTTCCCTTAAGCTGTATGGTTGTTATAGCAACATCAGAGCCCACCACATGATTTCTGAATGCAAGGATGCTGGAGCCAGATGCTGGGATCTTGATCTTGAGCTTCATGCTGATGACTGGTGATTTGAGTAAGTTGTTCAGACTTGCTCTGCTTGCTCTTCCTCAGTTGTAAGATGGGCAGGTTGTCAGTGTCAACCTCATAGAGTGTTTTCAAAATATTCTATTTTAGTTTTTAAAATTCTGCATATGTATGTGGGGGTTTGTGCATGTCGATGTGGTGCCCATGAAGAAGATGTCAGATGCCCTGAAACTGGTTTGTATGGGTAGCTGTGAGCTGCCTCATGTGGGTGCTGGGAATTGAACTTTGTCTTGTGCAAGAGTGACAAGGGTTTAACTTCTCGGACTGGAGAGATCGCTCAGCAGTTAAAAGCACTGACTGCTCTTTCAGAGGTCCCGAGTTTAATTCCCAGCAACAGATCCCATCTGTAATGGGATCCAATGCTCTTTTCTGGTGTCTGAAAACAGCTACAGCATACTCACATACATAAAATAAGTAAATACATCTTTTTAAGAAAGCTTCTGTGTACGTGTGTTTCCACATCAATAGCCTACCCTGAACAAATTAATTCTGTTTGTCAAGGTTTTCTGAACTATGAAATGGAGTGAGAATACTATCTCCCTCCAAGGTTTGGAAGATGGATTAAAGATAGTCTTAAACGAAAAACATTCAGAGTAGGTTCCAGCTAGAGCAAGCTGTTAGTAGTATTGTAGGGTACATGGATTATAACTCTTGCTTTCAAAGTTAAGTGAATCAATGCATTAAACAAAGGTGTGTTTATACGTTGTCACAAAAATCCATAGAATTCTGCATACACTAGCTTCCTTCTGTGGTTTTCTTCTGTGCTGTTAGTAATCTACATAGCACAGCCCTTTGTATGGCTTGAGAGCAAGGACAAGACTTTGTAGTGGTAACAACAGAAGTCCCCAAACCATATTTTACAACCACATTCTCATGGCTGGGAGGTTGGTGAGATGGTTCAGTAGATTAAGGCACTGGCTACTTCAGGGCTGTGTGATGTATTATCTCTGCTGATAAAATGGCCCAATTCAAACCAAGTTAAAGTATAAAGGCAGGTTTATTGGGGGTAGCTGTCAGGAGAATTCCCTGACCACATGTGAGGGGTCAGTGAAGTCGAGCCACACAGAGGGAGTCAGAAGGGAAGGGGAAGAGAAAGAGAGAAAGCATGTGGGTAGAGAAAGAAGAGAGATAAAGGAAGAGAGAGGAAGGGAGGGAGGGAGAGAGACAGAGAGAGACAGAGAGAGACAGAGATAGATAGATAGATAGATAGATAGATAGATAGATAGATAGATAGA